TAAAATTATGTTGCAATTTTATCTTTGTTTCTCTCTAGCTGCCATTTCTCACCTTGATTTTTTTTTCAGGATTCTGTCATTGGCTTTGCTTTTCTGATTTTGGATATGACACCCACAGCTGTGAGTAAAAGTATCTACCCAGAATGGTTGTGCTAATTTTCCTGAATCCACAGTTCAGTTTCCATCATTAATTTAAATATTTTGACAGCCATTAATTCTACAAATGTTTTTCTTTTCCTTCTCTTTTCTCTTTCTGGTATTTCTACTTTTGAAATTGCTTTTAATTTTTGGATGTTCTGCTCTGTTATTTTTATTTTTTTCTATAAAATTCTGTTTGATTCATTTCCATTGAACTTTATTTTGAAATTAATAGCCTGTTTCTTGCCATGTGCAATTACCCAGCATACCCATCAAAGGCATCCTTAATTTCACTTAGTTTTTTTTCTGTGATAACATTAGATTAGAACATGTTTAAAAGGAAATTTAAGACATTTCACAGGAATGCGATGGGGAGGCGCAGTTTAATACTGCTCTTGCTTAGGACAGTAAGTACTTCCCTTTGGGCTTAGGAAATGCATAAAGTGCATCACGTTAACCTGTATGTCAGATCAAGCTGAACATCAAGAAACTATTCATCACTTGCCTTGTGTCTAGTCAAACTCATAGCCACTGTCCCAAGTCAATCAGTTTTCTTAATGAAACCGTGGAGTTGAGGGATACATTAACTACAGGACTGAGCTAGAACGCATTTTCACAGTTCTTGGCTGCTTCAGTGTGACCCGGAAGATCCTCTTCCAGGGGAACTACCTCCTTCCCATGCTCTGTGGAGGGGGTCAAGTCCATTAAGGGCTGGAGCTGCCGCCATATAGAAGCATAGGGGAACACCAAGGGACAGACTTGGGAGTGGAAGACAGATGGCTTGTGCGTTTCAAATATGGAAAAGGAAAAGCCTGTAAGAATCCATGTTTCTGTAAGTTACCCCTCCCAAATGTCATATAAGCTATGCAAAATTCAAATAGGACATCTTATGTCAGTTTGTCAGCCCTGGGGCCTCAGGGGGCGTGGGTGCGAGTCTCCCAAGAAGGGAGGAAACAGGAAAAAAACTGGTGAAACATTCCACGAGTCTTAACTATGAGTGAGGGGAAGGAAACCTCTGTGAAAAAGACAGTGGAATAGGAAAGACAGCACTGTAAATTGAATGATGTAGAAAGTTAGTGAACGTTAGACATCAGATGCCGTGATTGCTAAGGTCTTCAACAGAAAGGCAGCCTCTCACATCAGTAGGAACAATAATTATACCAGAATCAGAACCTAAATTCAGGATAACAGGTTCTCCTTAGAGTCGTGATTTTGCTTTTAGAATATGATTGGTAGAAGTAGTGAAAATTTCAGTTAAATAATCTATTATTCAGGAAATAATACCAGAGAATAAATTAAATTTTATGTTTTCTATATAATCTTATTTACATTTTCCTTTAGGAAAACTAATACAAAAAAAACCATCATATTTCCTATTCAGTTTCTATTTCATCTCTACCTGTATTTTTGCTCCATGCTACAAGTAAATTCAGGTTACTAATGCTAATTAGGATTGAAAATTTTAATGTGTTATTTTTGTCAGATTTGAAGGAGAAATTTTAGAGATATTTTGGTACATATTTTATGTACTTCCGATAAAATAAACTTATTTTTCAACGCAGCTTTTAGTAAGCTAATTGTTTTATAGCAACCTCAGTTTTATGAATGAATTCACAATCTACATTGCATTCATATGAGAAAAAGAAATTATTGATTACCTAAAATTTAATTATAGAGAGGTGAGATCAAATGCAACTTATATAACTAAAATAGGATCTAAGTTTTAGGTTAATTAGGAAAAATTGGAGTTGATTACATACAAATCTGTCTAGTTGCAGGTGTGGAATGAGGCATTTGGAATGAATTTCTGCAAAGAAAGAAGAGGGTTTTCATTTGTTTTGTCTTCAGAGATCTGTTTTCCACATCATCACATTCATGTCTTCGAGGAAAAGAGAACCCTTGGACCATAGTTTGGAAAGCTTGCTTTACTTGCTGATTCCTCAGGGGATATATGAAGGGGTTCAGGAGAGGAGCCACGGAAGTGTTGAGCACAGTTACTCCTTTGCTTAAAGTCATCCTCTCCCTGGCAGAAGGCTTGATGTACATGAAGATGCAGCTACCATAAGAGAGGGAGACCACTATCATATGAGAGGAACAAGTGGCAAATGCTTTTTTCCTTTGATTTGTGGAAGGAATTCTCAAAATAGCCCCAATGATATTCGTGTAGGAGAGAATAACTAACGTCAAGGTGACCATGAGTGTCACCATAGCTACAAAAATGCCATGAGTTCTAGGAAGTGAGTCTTTGAGCAAGAAAGCTTCAAAACTGGAGAAGAGTCGCAGATAAAATGATCAATTATATTGGAGGCACAGAAGTCTAGCTGTAGCAGAAGAAGAATTGGTGGGAAGATGATCAAGAATCCCGCAAGCCATGCGCTAAAGACTAGGAGAAAGCAGACCCAGCTGCTCATAATGACTGTGTAATGCAGAGGTTTGCAGATGGCCACATAGCGATCATAGGACATGGAAGCCAAAAGGTAAAATTCTGTCACGCCCAGGAACATGAAAAAGAATAGCTGAGCCACACAACCATTATAGGAAATAGTTCTGTCTCCTGTCACAATGGTGACAAGGAACCTGGGGATACAGACAGATGTGAATGATATTTCTAGGAGTGAGGAGTTCCGAAGGAAGAAATACATGGGTGTCTGCAGATGGGCATCCAAAAGGGTGAGGATGATAATGATCATGTTCGCAGTCATGCTTAGCATGTAGGTGACAAGAAGAAATATGAAAAGGACAACCTGCCACTGTGGGTCATCTGTCAGTCCAAGAAGAATAAAATGTGACACTGCTGTGGAATTTCTCATAATGTTCACTGCTCCTGAAGGCCTTTTCTAAAGAGATGAAGAAACAAGAAACCCACTTTATTAATAAAGCCATGTATCTGGCCCCTGCGTCTGCTTATGCTACTTAGCACAGTGTCCTCCAGATTCATCGATGATGGCACAGATGTCTGTCTGTGTCTCCTTCTTTGTAAAGCTGGACATTATTATATTATGTGTGCACACACATAACTAGCATTGTGTATTATGTTATATTTATGGTATAGTACATATAATCCCCATATCTTGCAGTCATGTAGGATAAAGAAGTCAAGACATGTAGTAGTGTCTAGCATGATTGGTGTGGTTAATACTCTTGGATTGTTTGCTAAAATTTTGCTTTGGCAGAGTTTAGGTATGCCTGCAGAAAAGATAAAGCAATAAAGTAGATGATGGATAGGATAATTAGCTTGATTGTAGTAATCATTTCAGTGCATATATGTAACAAAACATTATTGTATACATTATATACACAGATGAATAAAAATTCACTTAAACACAGACACTTTAAAAATAACTGCTAAATCATTGCTTAAGGGAAAAAAAGAATTTGTAGTGAATCAAAGTAAATACTTTAGAAACTTTTCCCTTACCTTACTTGTTCATCATTCCTTTATTTTATTCTTGGTATTTTCACGTATTTTGGTATAAATCTCTGTCTTTTCAATATTCCCCCAAAATAAGAAAAGATATTAAAATTTCTGAGACTAAAACCTTTTAAAGTAAAACATATCCAATGTAGTGTACTATTCTTAAGAGATTTCCTTTTATTTTGCTTTCATTTTAAACACCTTTCCCTTTTGACTTCTTTTTATTTTGACAGGGACTCCCCAGTCCCAGCTAGTGGCCTGGGCCTGGAAGTCACTATGTGGACAAGGCTGGCCTTGATCTCACAGAGATTCACCTGCCTCTGCCTCTGCCTCTCCAGGGCTGGGATTAAAGGCATGAGTCACCATGCCAGGCATTTAAACATTTTCTGTTTTAAAGCAGTTGTCTCTTTTCTTCTGTTGAAGATTTCACACTTTACAGAGGTGACTCAGTGGTCTAGACTGGTGTGTTCCTGATAATTGCATATGGAGTTGTCTAATAGGTCAGAAGGTCCTACTCACCTTATTTCGGTGTTTATGCTGCAGGACACTGCCCATCTGTTATAATGATCTTCTGTGAGAATGTAAATGCATTCTGTCATGTATGTTAAGTCTTATCTGGTGAAGCTTTTGTACCAGCTGCCCTTTGGTGCAAGTTCATCCACTGGAGTCTAGTCAGCCTATCTAGAGAACTTAAAGAAGATCTACTCTCCCTCACCCAGAAGTAATCAGTTGCCAAGAGTTCCTAGGCTCGGGTGGGGCCTGCTGCCCATTTCCCTTGTTCTATGCTGGGTTTTTGTCTGATTGAGTCAGCATGGGTTTTGTGTATGGCTATCACCATTGCTGCAAGTTCATGTTAGCAAGTTTCCAGTTGGCCTATCATAAATCCACTCTGTGACATACAAAGTGCAACTTACATAATATCACATTATTTTATTTTGTTATTGACACAATGTCTTGCTCTCTAGCTACGTGGCCTCGAATTCATTATCCTCCTGCCTCAGCCTCATGACGGCTGGGATTACACATTTGTACTATCACTTTAGACTTTAATTTTATTTGTAAATTGCAAGTGCTCTTGCACACCCTACTTTCAATATAATACATTACCTTTGATGATATAACCTATTCCCTTTTTTGTGCATGCCCAGTTCAACATTCAAGGTAATTTTTCAGGAAAGAAAGATTTTCTTTTTCCCGATACTATGCATCTGGCATTGCTCTTGATGTTACAGGAGGTGTGTTTACTTGTTTTTTCCTGTTTAAAATTATTTCAAAACTGGGTCTCTGTTTCCAGACAACTTGACCTAGTCTTTAATGTCTCATCTACTCTCTGTACTCTATAGGTGTTAGTGTTGTGGAATAGAACACCATTACCTCAGCACTAGTGAATAAATTTAATAGGTGAATAACTTTACCCCCAGTTTTAACTCCAAGATTTCTTGGAGGTGGTAGAGTCCCACTTTCCCTCATCTGCTGTCTGTGGTTCTAGGATATGCAGCTTTTTGTTTTCTGGTTTTAAATCTTTGCTATGTACAAAAACTCATGTGCAACACTAAGACAAAGTATATCTACTCAATATTAAGTCATATCAAATAAATTGTTTTAAATCTTGTAAAATAATAATTCATTTCTTTATAATACAAATCACTGCAAGTTAATATATATATAGATAAAAAATGAAAAAAATTACTTCTATCAGTCATAAAATATTTTTGTATATGCCGGGCATGGTGGTGCATGCCTGTAGTCCCAGCACTTGGGAGGCAGAGGCAGGCAGAATTCTGTGAGTTCAAGGCCAGCCTGGTCTACATGGTGATTTCCAGGACACCTGGGGCTACAGGGAGACCCTGCTTCAAAAAGACAAAAAAATATTTTTGTATAATGTACAGACAAAATCGCAGTGTTAAAATTTTGATTTATATATTTCATTAAAATTGTGTTGCTTGATTTTATTTATGTATAAGATATACATTGAAATTGCTTATATAGAACACAAATATATATCCCAAACCAAAAATCATATTCCTGAAAAAATATACTTACTTTTTTGCTAAATTAGACTGGTACAGTCAACGTTATTTTAAATGGCTTATTGGTTTGTTTAAATATAAGTGTTTTGGTTTTTTTAAGGAACTTTGTAATTGATTTCTCCTCTGTCATCTTATATTTTCAGCTAAATGTCCAAAGTATTGATAACAAAGTAAAATTCTAAGAACACCTCTATAGTCTTTATAATAAGACATACATAAACCCATTTCTATTCATCAACTCAAGTACATCTAAAGATCTAAGGTTCCAGAATGTTCTACCCATAGTACCTCAAAAAATCTTGATAACTTTAAGCAAAATAAATTATAATAGAAATAAAGGCTAACGTAGCATCCTTAAAGTTTAATGGACAGAGCAGTATGGTCTGTGAGGAAGCATTGTTATTCAAGCTATCCCTAACTTTATCTGTTCTATTTAGAATGGACTCAGGGGATTGGTTGAATGAGTAAACAAGGCACTATGGAGATTGGGCTCTCAAGATACCAAGTAATAAACACTGGCCCAATTATTATGTGTAATTTAGAAGAGATTAGGCGTATATGGCTTGCAATCAAAACAGGAAAAGACGTAGAAAGATTTATATTTTTATAACTAACTACAGCTTTACAAGGAGAAGAGACTTAAACTTAGAGTAATATAGGTTGGTAGCTTCTAAATGACAACATACTTAACCCTGAATGAGTAGGGTTTTTCTATTTCAGGGAAAAATGAGAATTCATTGCGGGGTTTAGAATGGCCTGAGGCATCCCATTCTGTGCCATAAAAACATGAGACTTACCTTCCCACAAGTTGATCATAACTGCATCACTACCATTTCTCCACTCAACCCTTACTTTTGGATACCTATCCTGTGTTGAGTTTGTTATAAGGTCCTAAGTATGCAGAACAGAGTGAGAATTCAACATGATTTTGGAATCTGCCTCTTCCACAAGTCAAGGGCCAACAACTTTAATCCTCCAAACCTAAGATCTTGTGACTCATCGTGTTATCTATCTACACTAGCACCTTTAGATTATTGTTTTAAGACTTCTATTTTGCTGAATATTTTTACATGGAGTCCATGAACAATACTGGTACTTCAAATGAAATAATTGTAATTATCTAGTGATCTTAATGTGGTAGACATTCTCTGATAAAATTTAAGATTAATTTTGGTATTTATTGGAAGAAATAAAATTATTTGAAGTATGAAAGTATTGCAGTAAAAAGTTTAAGCACAAGAGTCCATGGCAAAGAAAAATGGCTAAAACAGAGCAACTATGTTAAAAAGAACTATGTATCACATTAATTTATTAAGATCAGAGTCAAGAACTTGAATAGTATGCTACATACTTGGTCATGATTAATTATCAACATTGTTACAGAAGTATTCCCTTGATGTTTGTAACTCCAAATTATTTACAACTATACATTATAAGTGGTCTTTTACTTAATAAAACTGAGTGGAAATTGCTTTAATGTGTATAGTCAAATTTACCTGAAATTCTTATTTTCAAAGTCCCTGTTTCCAAAGATAAGGCCATTTACACAGTCTCCAGACAAACTGAATTAAATAGGTCTTGATTCTTTGAGAATTTAATACAATGTATTCTGACGACAGTAAGACCTCCTCCCCCATCTCCACCTCCACGCTACCACTCCTCCAACTTCATATTCGCTTTTACTATCTCTATTACCAGTTTTCCTTTTTAAAAGGCACATCAAGTCTAATTTGTGTTCTTCAAATACTCTTGGTTGTAGCTGTGTCCCTTGGAGTCTGGTATACCAGGAAAAACTGACTCCCTCTGCCAGAAGCTACAATTGCCAATAGATATTCAGACAGGGCTGAGGCTTCTGGCTCACCTCCTGACTCCGTGCTGGGATTTTGTCTCCTTTGGGCTTGTGCATGTTTCAACCTGGTGTTTTGAAGACTATCAACCCAGCATAACAGCTAAAGCAAATGCATCTAAAACAATATTAAGACTTGTGTATCTCCAGTCAACATAACAGTTATGTGTTCTAAAAATTCTAACAAAATCCAATTTTTTCTCAGTAGTTTAAAAATTTGCAGAAAGATTATAAAAATCGATAAATATAATTAGTTAAATCAACTAAAGTAAATTGGACTCGGTGGGTTATGAATTAAAAGAAAAGAGGACGTAACTTTTGGAGGTACACGTGTTAGAGGGGACAGCAGGAGCTGGGGGGTGGAATAGGGAGGGGATACCAAAAATGTGCTTTGTACATGTACAAAACTGTCTAAGAGTAAAGTAAAAATATTATTTAAAATCTGTTAAATTGAGATTACATATATAATGCTTAAAAGTCACCAAATAGCTCAATGTTTCTCTTCTAACAAACACAACA